AGACGGCCGCTTCCTGCTTTTCTGACTGAACTCAGACCCCAGCCGGGTGGTGAGGCTGGGCCGAGCTGGTTTCCTCATCCTTCCCCGGGACAGCTCCCTCCAGGGGGGTCCTCAAAGCTCCAGATCGCCTGGATGCTGGATGAGGCGCCCACCCTCCAGCTATCCTTGACCTGGGGCTGGGCAGGCCAACCTCTGCCCAGGCCCCTGGAGCCTGTAAGTGTCCCTGCTGCCCGCCCCCCGCCCCATTTCACACTCAGACCCCTCCCACTGCTCAGACCCCTCCCAGCGGATGAAAGTCCTGTCCCAGCAGGGTGGAATCCCACTTCTGCCTCAGAGCTCGCCCCCAACCCCTCACTCAGTGGATACCCAGGACTGTCCCCTGGCCCCCAATCATGCAAGCTTCCAGCCAGGAGGGTGTGAGGGCAAAATTAGGGTCCCTTCAATGGTGCCTCCCAGCCAGGGAGAAGGACTCATAGTGAGGGCTGAGACCTCACCGAAGAGGAAGCAGCCAAGGGTACCAGTCCATGTGGGGATGCCACGCACACCAGCCTCAGTTATGGCTTCCCTGGGACCACCAGAACCCAGGGTGCCCTCCCACCATGGCCTGTTCTGCAGGAGGGGACACTGAGGCACAGGCAAGGCGTCTGTGCCAAGCCAGGTGTCGGCGCTCAGCTGAACCTCCCAAGACCAGGTGAAGGAAGGTGTTCGAGGCCGGGGTCGGGGCGGGGCACTGAGGAACCCCGATCCAGAGAAAGGAAGCAGGAAGGAGGGTCCTGGGGAAGTGCTGGTGGCCCTGGGCTGGCAGTGCGGGGATAGGCCCCCTGAGCTGACAGAGGCTCCAAGGTCTGGCTGCCGAACTGTGGGTCCCAGCCCCACAGAGCCTCTATGCAGCTGTCCATAGGGGCTCGGAGATGCCCGAGGTGAAGGGGTGGGCCGGGACTCTGGCTTCAAGTCCAACACCATGGATGTGGACTGTCATAGCTCACCCACCCCGTGGCTGTCATCAGGTGTGGCCCCAGGAGTGTCGGAGGCCAGAAGGACAGCACAGGAGTTCAGGCCCCGGTCCAATCCCTGGCACCACATACCGTCCCCCTGAGCACTGCCAGGGCTGACCCCGAAGCACAAAGCTGGGAAGAAGCCCCAGTCTGGGTGTGGCCCAAATACACCTGGTCACTGTCACTGTCAAGTACTGGAGATGCCAAACACAGTAACAACAAGTCTCATGACAGAGGGCCCCTCGAGCAAATCGATGAAATACATATTAAAGGGGAAAAAAATAGTCGTAACAACTGCCTGATTTGTTTCTAGGAAATGTTTCATTTATATTCTTATTTTATACATCAACATACAGAGGGTCACCTAAAAATTGCTCGGGTAGAAGTGGGTCGTGAGGGACACGGAAGGTCTCGTTCTGGGGAGGGAGGGGGCTCCTGGCCTGCGGCAGTACTGGCGGAGGGTCCACTGTCTCAGGGATAAAGCCTTGAGGGCTGGTGTGGCCCAGCCCGCTGGGGCAGGGCGAGTCCTGCCTCCTCACTCCTGTCCATCCTTCTGAGCAGGCCCCCCTCTGCCCTGGGGCCTTATCTCCTGGGCACCAGCTAATCAAGGTTTAAAAGTCACGCCAACAAGGGGACTGGAGAGAGAGGCCAACGGGCATGCTGCTTGCCATGCAGCCAACCCAGGCTCCATCCCTGGCACCCCATACAGTCACCCTTGGGCTCCCTGGAGGGCAGGAGGAACCCTGAGCACCACTGCGTGTGGCCAAACACAAAAGTGACACCCATGGGGGGCTGAGGAGGTTGGCATGTGGTGGAGCGAGTGCCCAGAATGTGTGTGAAGGCCCTGGGGGCTGAGGTGTGTGTGTGTGTGGGGGGGAGGCCTTGCCCGGCGCCATGAGTTCACCAGCCAGGCAAGCACCAGACCCACAGGTCCCAACGCTGCATTGCAAAAGAGAAGAAATCAGAAATGGAAGATCTGGGCAGTGGCGGGTCGGGGGGGCGCACAGCAGCGTGTGAGGAGGAAAACAGGGCTGGCTCCTCGCTGTCCTGGGTTCAGGGATCACTGGGGGCAAGCTCTGGGAAGCACGCGGTGCCAGTGCTCTGACCCAGGTCAGCCCACAAGTCTGGCTATCCTACCTCTCTGCGTCCCCATTGCCCCCTGCAGATTTCTTTGCAAAGTTCTTTTTTTTTGTACGCGAAACTTTAAAAATACAAAACAACAACAACAACAACAAAATCAGGGGGGTACCACTGACAAACAGGGGCGATGAGTATGAAGTAGCAACTATTGTGTGAAATACGGTAGCTCTTCCGGGATGGTTTTCTTCCCTGAGAACCAAGGTTCCCAATTCTTTCTTTTCTTACTAGAATCTCTGAGGGAGAAGTTATGCAACTTGCCCAAGGCCACACCACCGCATAGAGGCTGAGGCAGAATACAGAATCCCCCCGGTGGCGGGGATCCCACTCGGGGTCCCCCAACTGCCCCGGAAGCAGCGTCTTCCTTCCCACCCGGAGGGACATCTCTGCTGGGACCCAGGAGAGACTGTGACGAGTCACAGGCGAACCCTTTCAACTTCAGACAACCTGGCCCCACGTGAAAACACACACGTGCGTGTAAGTAAGCATCACAGACAGTCCACGCGCTGCAGTTCACGCACAGGCAGAGGCGCACGGACGCAGAGACAGACCCCGCGCCCGCGCGCAGAATCCCGACACCCCACATCCTCCTGTCACAAAAAAACGAAAGAAACTGAAACGGGGTATAAAGTAGGCAAGGGAGGGACCAGGCAGATGCTCAGAGGGCTGGAGCACCGTCGTGTGAGATCCCCCAAAGAGGATGATAAGGGATAGAAACGGGCTCCAAGCTGTGCTCAAGGGGACGGAGACCACCCCCAGCGACACTCGGTTAAGCAGGCTCAGAGGCGCAGTGCTGGATTCTGCAAGGGGTGCTGGGAGAGGAGGGGCTCCAGTGGGGTGCAACGGGGTGCTCCTACGGGGTGCTGGGGGAGCAGGGACAGGCAGACCACGGGAATCTAAGCCGGGGCATGAGCCCTTGGAGCTGTCACCCGGGAAGCCAAGATTATTTTCCTCTGGAATCGGAGAGCCCCCAATCCCGCATGGAGTGTCCACCTAAAAAATGAATGCTGTCCGAGCACCCCTCCACTCTCGGGCACCCAGGCCGCTGTGTCTGAAATGGAGGCTGGCTTCTGTCTGGGCCCACCAGAATGAGGAGGCCTTCCCTCAAACCCACTCCCCACATCCCCCACCCCCAGCTGCAGTGAACTCTGGTAGCCCTTTCTTTTTGGAAAAAGTGATGGAGCACTTGGCTTGAGCTGTTTGTTTCCGGGCAGTGTTCCGTGGGGACCGCACGGGGTGCCGGGGATGGAACCCGGGTCAGCCGTGTGGAAGGCAAGTGCCCTGCCCGCTGTGCTTAGGTTCTGGGCCTGTTTCCAGTCCTTGAGCAATTAACTGGAGGGAGAGAGAGAGAGAAGCAAAAAAAAAAAAAAACCGCAAAATCTCAACCAACTCCCACAGCAAGGCAAGCAGGTGCACCTAAGAAACCTTCCCAGCCCCAGTGACTGCAGATGCCCGCTACTGGCTGGCGCGAAGCCTCCACCAGGCGGCTGTCAACCGTGTCTGCTGCTATTAGGAAACCGCCATAGTAACAGGCTGAAACTGACACGTCTCAAAGTCTGAAACTGACACATCTACCAGAACAGGAGTCCTAAGGACCACACCCGCCCGGCCTGCCTGATGCAAAGTCCCTCCTGGAATGTCGGGGGCCTGTAAACTTCAGTTTGTTTGCCGAGGATCCTGAGGGCAGACACACCCACCCAGGGGTGCGCAAGGCTTACTCCTGGCTCCGTGCTCCACCAGGGATCACTCCCGGTGGTGCTGGGGATGGAACCCGGGTCGGTTTCCTGCAGGGCAAGAACCTTAATAACCCCTCCACAAGCCTGCCAACTTTTCCCTGCGGGGGTCTGAGGCCCAGAAAGAGAAGTTCTGAAGCTCTACAGGGTGCTACGAAGCAGGGGCAAACTTACCCCCAGCTGGGAAGCAGGAGACCTCATAAAAAGGAAAAAAATAGTAACTCCCAGGACAAATTGTGTAGCCAGGGGTGATCATTATAAGTGGAGAGTTGTTACATAATTACTTATTAACTACTGACAAACACAGCCGGCTACACAACGCCATGGTTACCCTGGCCTTTGAAAGAACCGGGTCTGCCGCGGGTGGAGGTTTCGCCAATTAATTCCGTTCGGAGGACTCAGCAATCCCGGGACCTGTTCCCCTCCAAGGTAGCAACCTGCTCTGACAGATACAGAACAGCCTTCCAGCAATTAAGCCGACCGCCTCTAGGGACCCAAATCAGTGTTTTCCCCTTCCTATTGATTTTTTTTCCTCTCCAAAGGGGCCAGGGGATGCAGGGAGAAGTAGCGTGCACGAACGCTACACGATTTGTCGCCTCTGAAAACGACTTGCACGCCGAGCTGGAGAACAGATGAACAGATGAACAGACAAGGACCCCCCACCGCAGCCACCCCGACCTCCGTCACACCCGCCCCCTTCCCGGGTGCCCCCCGCGCTCCGCCCGCGCAAAAAAAGAGAAAAGAACAGGACGGGGAGACAGGAACCCGCCCGCCCGGTGTCGGGGTGCTCCCCGCGCTCCCACATTTCTCAAAAAGTTTAGGAGCCTCCACCGGGGCGGCGGCGGGCGAGGAAACCCCGCGGGGAGACGCGGGCGCCCGGCGGGCTCGGGCCGCGAGGACGCGGGCGCAGCGCCCGGCGGCGCCGTGCCAGGCCCGAGGACCGGGAGGCCGGCGGGCCCCGGGCGCGCGCGCGCCGGCCGGCCGTGACAGCCGCGGGGTCCCGGCGCCGGGGGTCCCCGCGCCCCCCGCGCGCCCCCGCCCCCGCCCGCCGCCCTGCGGCGCCGCCGGCGCGCGCGCCAACTTGGCCCGGGTCCGCGCCGCGGGGCGCGCGCGGGGAGGCCGCGGCCGCGCTCACCTCCTTCTGCTTGGGGTCCTGCGGGTAGACGTCGGGCGGCCCGAGGCGCGGGCGCTTCAGCGGTCGCCGCTCATAGCTCAGGAGCCCGAAGGCGGCCATGATCTCGCATGTTCCCCGCGGAATGAATGAGCCTCCGCGCCCGAGCCGCCGCCTCCGAGCGCCAGGGAGCAGCACTTGGCACACGGCGTCCCTCCCCGCGCCGCTCGCCGCTCGCTCGCTCCGCGCTCGCCGCGCCGCGCCGCTGCAGCAGGAAGAAAGCGGGCGGTTGCGGGCGGCCGGGCGAGCCGCCGGCCGGGACCCCCGCCCAGCCCGCCCGCGCGCCGGCCGCGGAGCGCCCCCGCCCCGCCCCCGCCGTCCCCGGGGGGAGGAGCGGCCGACGGGGACGTGTGACTTTCTTCGCCAATGGACCCGAACCCCGAGCCGGGCGCGGCGGGGGAGGGGCGCGGGAGGAGGGGGAAAACTTTTGCGGGCGCCCCCGGCCCGGGCGCCCCCGGGCCGACCCCGAGCCGAGGGGCGCGCTCCCCGGGTCCCCTGCCCTCGCCTCCCCGGCGCCCGGCGACCCGCCCCCGCCGGCCGCCGCCGCAGCGCCCGCCGCCCGGCCTCGCCAGCGGGCCCGGGGCGCGGGGGCCGGCGGCCTGGAGGCCGGGGCAGGGCAGGGCAGGGCAGGGCGGGCGGGCGGGCGGGCGGGCGGGGGTGCGGCGTGCGGGAGAGGCGGCCGGGCCCGAGGCGCGCGGGGGGCGCTCGCGGTGGCTGGAGGGGGCGCGCTCGCGGTGGCGCGGGGCCGGCTTAACCCTTCCCTGCCCCATCAGGGGCTGGGCCGGGGCGGGGGTGATGGGTGGGAGGGGGCGCCGGAGGGCCGGCTGCAGCGCCTACGGGGCGGGGGGGCGCAGCCGGCCCGCCGGGCACCTGGGGGCTCCCGCGGCCCTCCCCGACCCCCCGCAACCCCGGGCCGCGCCCCTCCCCCCTCCCCGCCCCCACCCCGGGCCCCCAACAGTTTACCTGTTGGTCCCCGGCTAGCGGGCAGGGGCCGGCGGGGGCCGCGCACCGCGGCCGCAGCCTCCCCGACCCGGGGTGGGATGGGCGGGGGGGGTCGGGGCCGGATCGGACCCCGCGCCGACGATCGGGCCGGCCCGGGCGGGCTGCGGGGCCGCGGCGAAGTTTGCCAGGGCGCGGGGGCGGCGGGCGACGCCGGCTGGCGGCCGCCGGGCTGGGGCCCCCTCGGCCCGGGGGCGCGAGCGTCCGAGTTGGCGGCGCGGGGCGCGCACTGAGCATGCCCAGCTCGCGGCCGGAGCGGAGGAGTTGGCGGCCGCCGCGCTCCGATCCGCCGCTCGCTCCGGGTTTTCGGCGCCGCAGAGCGCGCCGGCCGCGGGGTGAAGCGGGGCGCGCGAGAGGGCGCCCCCCGCACCGCCGCCGGGGCCGCCGCGGCCGCGCGCCCCGCTCCCCACCCCCACCTCCCCCCCGCCCCGCCCGGGGTCGCCGGCCTCACCTGCGCCGGCCCGGCCTCGGGGGTCCCGGGTCGGCCACCCGCGAGCAGCCGGGCCACCTGCCGCCCGCCGCGGGGCGGGCCCGGCCTGTGCCCCCCGGGGACCCCGCGGCGGGCGCGCCCCGGGGAGGATGCGCCCGGCTCCTGGCCCAGGATGACGGCTGCTGCCGGGGAGGGAGCCCTCGATCCGCGCGGCGAGCTCGCCACGCCAGGTCTCCGGCCCTCACGAAATAGGAAAGAGGCTCACGCGCCGGTGCCCCTTTTCGGGTTTTATTTTCCAGAGAGAGAGCGAGCCCGGGGAGGGGGGGCAGCTCGGGACGGCGACAACGAACTGCCTCTGCCGGCTCCCAAGTTCTTGACCCATTTTCTCTAGCGCTGGAAATGGGAAGCAAAGGGACTGTTCCCGCGCCCTTGGGTATTTGCCAGACCCCCAGCCCCGCTCCCATCCCTCTCAGAATGATGCGCAGAGGCATTGGAGCCCAAGCGGAGGACCCCGAGTCGGGTTGGGGAGATGGCTGGGTACCCCCCTAGCTCTGCTGCTGCCTTGCAAGCCAGGGAGGAGGAGGGGGTGACTCTGCCCTAGGAACTGCGCCTCCCACACCTGCCCCTGCCTGCCTGGCCTGGGGTCTCTTGAGCCAACCCTCCCGGATACCTCCCCAGAACAGTCTCAGTCCAGCAAATGTCCGCAGGAGGCATTTCCTGACCTCCCTCCCACTCACCCTGAGTGTCACTTCCAGGCTGAACTGACCCTTGCGAGAGAAGGATCTGGCATATCCAATCTGGTCGGAAAAGCACAGAACATATTCCAGAGCAGAAGTCTCGGTGTCATGGACGCCCCCTGGATGCCCCTCTAACCCTCATCCAAGTTTCCCAGTTCCTGCTCATCTCCCCCGGCCCCCCACGCTGGCTGATGGCAGTGAACAGCGGGCAGCAGATCTTGGCTGGGTAGGAGAAGGGATCACCAGGGGTCCTCTGGAAATAGCGTAAGCCGGGGCTAGTCTGGGGGGAGATGTTCTCTCCCCCCCCATAGATACTCTCCCCCTGGGATGCCTTTACAGACCCCCAACTCATCTTCACAAAGGAAGCCCTTAGGAGTGCAGCTGAACTCCAAGTCCCAGTGGGTTTGGTGACTGCGTGGGAAAGAGAAAAGGGTGGCCTTCTCCCTTAGCTGCCTTGCCTGGGCACTGGACACTGCTGGGCTTAAGTGAGATGGTACTGTTCTAGGCTGTGCTGGAATGTTCTGGGGGGGGGCAGGTTCAGACAGCACCTGGGTATGGCTTCTTGGGGAGAAATGTGAGTGTGTTTGTTGCTGTTCCTCAAAAGGGCACCAGGGCTGGAGATACAGTGCAGTGGGCAGGGCACTTGCCTTGCAAACGGCTGAGCTAGGTTCAGCCCGGGACACCACATCTGGTCAGTGGCCCAAGCACCTCCAGATATAATCCCTGAGCCTGTCAAGCAGACGTCATGCAGGGGATAACCCTCCCCCACATTTCAAACTACAAAGTGCACCACCATCTCTCACCTGCCTTGCGAGCCCGCTTCCACCCACCCCAGGCCCCGAAACAGGAACGAGAGCCACAAAGAGGGCCCAGCCCAGACCTCAGGGTGAGCAAGAGATGCTGGGTCTGGGTCAAGAGGAAGTGAATGCAACCGGGAGGGGAGACAGGCTGACCTCAGCCCGAGGGAGCCGGACTGCAAGCCTCTTTCTGGGGAGAGGAGGAGAGTTCAGGCATTCACAGCGGGGCTCGGGGACTGCTCCTGGCTCTAGGCTCCAGAGCGGCCCCTCGCAGTGCTCAGGGACCCTGAGCCATGCCAGCAAGCAAACCAGGACCTGGAACCTGCAGGACAGGCACCTGCGCGGTCTAAACCTTGGGAAACGTCTGGGGCTGTATCCACCACGCGTGGCGCCAACTCTCTCTGGCTGCTTCTGCCCACTGACCGGGCCTTTCCAAGCTGACCCTTTGCTTGGGTCCTCTTCAGGGATGCCTCAAAGAGCCCTGAGTAAGAACCCCTCTGGCTGCCAGTTGACCTCGGCAAGGCCTGGGGATGGGAATCTGCAGGAGTCCCTCAGTGGACATCTGCCCAGAGCCAGTGCCCTTTAAGACAGCTCCCTGCGGCCACTCTCTCACCTGCTGTCCTTCTGGTCTGCAGGAAGCATGCGGAGGGCTGTCCAGCTGTCCTTCACCCCCGCATGCTCTGGGGCAGGCACTGTCCACCCGCCTTCTGGCCTGCCAACCTCAGGTCACCGTCCCCTCGGGGGACCACAACCCCTTCCCCAGACCCCCGGAAAACTGCAAGGCAACCAGCTGACCACACTGGTCCCAGCCAAGCTATTCTCCTGCCCCGAGAAATACAATGTCCTGGGCAGAAGGTGGGCGCAGGAACCAACATGCAGAGCGGAAGTCCAGAGAGCAGAGGCGGGATGGGGTTCAGAAGCTCCCACACCTCATAGCCCCATTTCACAGATGAACAGAGGAGGCTCGAGGCCGCTGAGTTAGCAAACAGCAGTGCCAGGCTCAAATCCAGCACCCTCTAGTTCTCAGCTCCCCTCTCTATTGTCATCGTGCTACATGTATTAATTATCCTTTACATCAGGTGCATAAAAGGGAGCCCCAGAAGGCAGGGCGGAGAGCGAGGGAGCGGTGAGTGCAGACAGCTTGCCCGGGCAGGGCAGGAGCTTCCACTCAAGTGGAAAGAAACAATTCACAGGGCAGCGCCTGTAGGTGAAGTAATTAAAGTTGCCGGGCATCCCCAGGGACCGTGCTTGTCCAGGTGTATACATTACTGTTTTGTTAACAGATTGCCTCCAGGCGGGCTTGCTTCCTTTCCATTTTTTTTCCATTCTGATATCACCAACATATGTGAATAGATTCATCATGTGCCGCCTTCTGAATCAATGATGAAAGGAAAACTGTGTTGTTGTTGTTGTTGTTGTTGTTTTTTAAACTACTGAGGGCCCAGGGCCGGAGAGAGAGTGCAGTGGGTAGGGCATTCGCCTGGCGCTGGCTCTGTGCCTCTGTGCTCAGGGCAGCATGTGGCACCAGGTGTGGAATTGAGCTTGGCTGCAGCAAAGTGCTTTAACACCACACTCTCTTGCACACCTACGTGAGTTTAATTTTATTTTGGGGTGACACCAGGCAGTGCTTGGGGAACCAAGTGGGGTACCAAGGATTGAGCCCAAGTTGGCTGTGTGCACCCATAAGGCACGCAGCTGACTCTCGCTCTCATTCTCAGCCCCCAACCCCAGGTGAGTTTTTTAGCAGTGTATTTGCTTAACCAAAATGTGGCTAGAATACTGTCATTTAAATATGTGATAAATAATTTTACATGCATTAGTGATACATTTCATCCTCTTTTATTCACTGTAACTGTCACTGTCCTCCCGTTGTTCATCAGTTTCGGGCCCAGTAACATTTTGAGACTTGTTACTGTATTTGGCATATCTAATACATCATGGGTAGCTTGCCAGGCTCTGCCGTGCGGTGAGATACTCTCGGTAGCTTTTTGTTATTAAATCTCAGGGGCTGGAGCAATAGCAAAGCAGGGAGGGCATTTGCCTTGCACGCGGCCCACACGGCCGACCAGAGTCCCATTCCTCCGCCCCTCTCGGAGAGCCTGGCAGGCTACCGAAGAGTATCTCGCCCACACGGCAGAGCCTGGCAAGCTCCCCGTGACGTATTCGATATGCCAAACACAGTAACAACAAGTCTCATGATGG